ACACTGCTGAGGGGAGCAGCGGGTGGCAGGAGAGGTCTGCTGCGCTATGTGGGACCCTCTCTGGCGGCCGGGCATCAAATCGGCGCTGCAGAGGCTGCGGGCAGGCAGCCTCGCAGCCCAGCACTTAACCACTGCGCCACCAGGGGAGGCCCCTTGTTAGATTCTTAATAAATATTAACCATTTCAAAATTATTTATTATATATGCTCCAGTTGACAGCCTTATGCCTTTGAAACCAATGTCACTGAATCTCAACTGCCAGTTACAGAGAACTTATTGGGTGGCTGCTAAGCACTTTAGATGCATTTATCCAATCTGATCTTAATGTCAGCCCTATAAGGTTTTCAGAGTTAAGAACAGCTCAGTTTGGAGCTAATTCTTGGGATCACAGAGAAAGTAACAGCCCTTCTAAGCTGTGCATTTATTATCAGGACTTAGCAACAATCTTCCAAGTGGACAAAAAGATGGGCTTCTATCAACACCTATTCAAAGGCTCACTTTAGGGATACAGTCTCTTTGGGGCTCAGAGACTGTACTTTTGAAATATTTTTGTTTTGTCCAAGTAACTTCCTCCCACACTGAGTACAAAATCAGCTCAGAATTTTTTCTTAATCTTGCCAACACTTATTGTTCCTTCTTTGTTAATAGCATTGAACTTAATTATCGAGAAATTTCCTGCAATATGTTATGTATATTTTACCACAATTTAAAAAATCTAAAAGTGTAGACTATACTCTAGCATTTTTTAAAATAAAGGCACGTATGTTAACATAAAAGTTAAGTTTTTGCTACTTTTTTTATATATACATCTTTTTAATTAAAACTTAATCCAACAAAAGAAAGAATGATGCAAACAGTTCATGTGTTTAATAGCAAGATTCTATTAGGGTTCAGATGTCCTTCAATGAAAGTTATATTTTTTCCTACATTCTCTCATGAATTAAATGAAATAAATAATATAGAAACAAATTACATGCAGATGAACATTTTATGGATCTCAGTATTTCATTGTTTATTATATCTGAATTATTGAGCAATTTCCAATGTGAAATCTCAGCTGACTTTGCAGAAATTGAAAGGTTGATCCTAAAATTCATATGGAAATTCAAGGGACTCAGAATAGCCAAAACAATCCTGAAGAAAAACAAAGTTAGAAGACTCAAACATACCAATTTCAAAGCTTGCTACAAAGCTACCCCTATCAAAACAGTGTGGTACTGGCATAAGACTAGACACATACACCAAGGGAATAGAACTGAGAGCCCAGAAATAAACTTTCATCTTTCATTTTAGATATGGGTGGCCAGACCAATTTAATGGGGAAAGAATAGTCTTTTTGACAAATGGTGCCAGAACAACCAGTTACCCACGTACAAAGGATGAGGTTGAACCCCTATCTCCCACCATAAACAAATATGAAAATGGACAGAAGATCTAGATGTAAGAGGTAAGACCACTTGGAGTAAGTCTTTTTTTTTTTTTTTTTAAGATTTATTTATTTATTATTTATACAAGCACTGGGTACAGTCAGAAGCGCGGGAGGGTGAGAGAATTCACCAGAGCCAGAGCAGGGAGCAGAGCAGGCAGAAGGACTGAAGTACACTGCTGAGGGGAGCAGCGGGCGGCAGGAGAGGTCTGTGCGCCATGTGGGACCCTCCTCCGGTGGCCGGGGAGCAGCCGGGGATTGAACCGGCGCGGCAGAGGCTGCGGGCAGCTTCGCCACCCAGCGCTCAACTGCTGCGCCACCGGGGAGGCCCTGGAATAAGTCTTCAAGATCGTATTTGACAATGGTTTCTCAGCTATGACGCCCAAAGCATGAGCAACAAAAGGGACAAATAAATTGAACTTCATCCAAATTTAAAAGTATCTGTTTCAAAGGATCCCCTCAAGAGTAAAAAGACTTATACTTGACATGGGAATTATATCTAGAATTATGAAGAACTGCCACAACTCAATAATAAAAGACAACATGAATTTTAAATGGGCAACGAATCTGAATAGACAGAAGGTGTACAAATCGCCTTTAAACAAATGAAAAGATGCTCAGCATACTTAGTTGTTAGGGAAATACAAATCAAAATGGCAATGAGTCACTACTACATACATACTCGGATGGCTATAATCAAAAAGACAGGTAGTAAGAAGAAGTCGAGCCTCATACATTGCTGGTGGGAATGTAAAATGGTGCAGCCACTTTGGGATATAGTCTGCAGTTCTTCAAAAAGTTAGACATAGAGTTACCATGCGGATCAGGCATTCTACTACAGGTATAAATACTCAACATGAATGAAAATGTATCCACTCAAAAACCTGTATGCAATTATTCATAGCATTATTCATTCCAGCCCAAAATGTGGAAAACAACCCAATATTCATGTTTGGATGAACAGGTAAATGTAATGTGGTTTATCCATACAGTGGAATGACATTTAGCCATAAAAAGAAATGAAATAGTCATATACTCTACAATATAGATGAACCTTGAAATCACTACTAAGCAAAAGAAGTGAAACAAAAGACCACGTATTTTATGGTTACATTGACATGAAACGTCTAGCATAGGTAAATCTATAGAAACAGATCAGTGGTTGCCCAAGGCTGAGGTGGGTGAATGGGTTGGGGAGGGAGGCCTTCTTTCGGGGTAACGAAAATTTTCCAAAATTGTGATATAATGGTTGCTCAACTCTGAATATACTAAAAGTAATTGAATTTTATACACTTTAAATGGGTGAGAGTTTGTATGGTATGTGATGTTTATCTCAATAAAGCTGTTACAAAACAAAAATTTCCAACATCAACAATTATTTAGAGAACCTTTATCTCTGTTTCACTCTGTTTCTTTCTTTTGTTTTTCCCTCCTGGGGTACAGACCAAAGGTGGGGGGTGGTTGGTGAGAGGATTAATTCACCAGAGACAGAGTGGGGAGCAGAACAGGCAGACTGACTGAAATACACTGCTGAGGGGAGCAGCGGGCGAGTCAGGAGAGGTCTGCTGCGCCATGTGGGTTGCTCCCTGGCCTGCAGGGAGGCCAGGAGTGCCAGTTGTAGGTCACCACCATATTCCCTAATAATTCTCTACATTTTATCTGACAGGCCTTGTCACCATAAAAAGTTCATTTAACTTTCCCAATAAGGGTCTCCGATCAGGCATTCTATTCAAAATGGATTTGCCCTAGAGTCCCAAAGCCAGAGATGGATTCCCCCCACACACCCTGAATTGATGTGTTTATATTTGAGCAAAGATTGTGCAATGTAAAAACATTTTTTGAGATTTAGTTACACAACATGGACATTAGAAAGATGCTGGGTTAAGCATAAAGCTGTTCGGGGGGGCCTCCCTGGTGGCGCAAAGGGGTTAAGCGCAGCACTGTGAAGCAGTCTGCAGCCACAGCAGCACTAGTTCCATCCCCCGCAGGCCAGGGAGCAACCCACATGGCACAGCAGACCTCTCCTGTCTCGCCCGCTGCTCCCCTCAGCAGTGTATTTCAGTCAGTCTGCCTGTTCTGTTCCCCGCTCTGTTTCTGGTGAATCAATCCCCTCACCACCACCACCACCCCAACCTCTGGTCTGTACCCCAGCTCTTGTATGCATAAATAAATAAATCTTTTAAAAAATAATAAATAAAAGCTGTTCGAAGCCCCAAAACACCAGGGGAAGGCTTGAGGCTTGGAGGAGGCTGCCCCCTTCCAGAGGAGGCGAATGTGATGTCCATGTGTGTCAGTTCATGGGGCTAGCATTTGAAAACAAGGAAACCTGGAGACATGAGCTGCCAGCAGAGGCTGCGCTGTGCAAGACCAGGACGCTGTTAGATGCCTCTGTCTCGTTGGAGGGCCTCTGCTTCTGATTCTACCCCCATTTTCATATACTTCTGCCCATCCCACCCCCAACCATGTCATCGACCTCTCCCGGCTCCGGGCCTGAAATCCTAGACTGAACTATAAACCATGGAGACGTCAGCTGTCATCCCTGCTTAATGAGCTCCTCCAGAAGAGGGAGGCCCGTTGCAGGCCTGGCCCTTTCCAAGAAGGTTTCAGCCTCAGGAGCAGGCGTGCCTGTTGCAGGTCAAGGGGTCAGAGTTTGGAAAGCTGGGCTTACCAGGGGAGTAGCCCCAACTCCCTTCTTGGGATGTAGGTCCTGACACTTCCTGCAAACATGTGTCAGCTGCTGCCTGGTCTCTGAGTAGCCAGTGAGAGCTCCTGGGCCAGCGATTTCCAAAATGTATTGAGCTTGTTGGCAAGTGGTAGCCCTGGGTGAAGGAATTTCCAGTGTGTTCTGGTCACTGCGACTCCTAAATAGAGGAACATTTTACTACTTCCATGTGCAGCCTGTCCCCTGCTTTCCTGTAGTGACCGCAGACTTGGATAATGAGGGCTCCGGACCCCCAAACCCTCTCTGCATGGCGGGGAAAGCTCAGCACAGAGGAGGCCAGGACATGGGCTCCCCTCCACCCTACCCCTCTCCACAACCTGGTCACCCTGAAACCTTCCACTGCGTAGCTGGCGCTGTAAAGTCCCGGGGAAACATCGCTAAGAGAAACTTCAGGCTGCTTCCTCCTTTGCGTTCAAAGTGAGGCTTTATGAAACGCATGTTCCTGCTTTGAATGTGGTAAAACAAAAGAATTTTCGTGTTATCAGTCGGCTTTGTGTTCCCCCGGGATTGCACCTTTCATGGTGTCCTTAAGACAAAAAGAAAAAGAGAAAAAAAACAAACACCTGAGAGCAGCAAATTACTCCTGCTACCGAAGCTTTTGTCCCTAAAAAGCTGTTTTTAGGGACATTTTCTTTGTTCTTATTTTCTTTAGCCCGGAGTGGGAAAGATGGTCATTTTTCTTTCATTGAAATTGGAAACTAGATCTTAAAAGAAGTAGGGAAAAAAAGATGCCACCCAGCTCTGTGTTGAAAAGAGCTTGTAAAATACAGCCCCGTGTGCCTCTCTAGGGTGTCAGGGTCCCCTCCCGGCCCCACCCACCAGCACCCCGCAGCCTCCCCACTGAGGGGCTGCATCAGGCACACTTGCTGACACACTCCAGCAGCTCCATCCGGATTGCAATGCGGACGTGCCAGCCCAGGGGGATCAGCCGGATGAAGCGCGAAATGATGGGGGGCCGCAGCAGGTTCTGGACTGTGGACGTTCGGTCTGAGTTTCCGTAGAAGATCTAGAGAGAAGGAGCAGGTCCCGTCAGCCCATCAGGGAACAGGCAGATGCCCCCCCTCCCCGCCCCCACCCCAAATCTGACCTTGAGGGATTGTTAGCACTTATGTGCCTCGGGCTTCTCCTAGTGGGTCGTTTGGAGTTACACTGTCCAGTATGGCAGCGCTAGCCACATGTGGCTATTTAAATTTAAGTGAATGAAAATGAGATAACAATTCACTTCCTCAGTCACACTAGCCCTATTTTGGAACGTGCAGAACATTGACATTTCCATCATCACAGAAAGTTCTGTTGGATGGCATGCATGGAAAACACCTCTTGGTTCTTATCATCCATTTAGTGTTTTAATCCTTTTTGTTAGGGAGTTTTAATCCCAAAGTTTTGATAAGAAACTTTGAAGGGCCTCCCCAGTGGCACAGCGGTTGAGCACCGCACTGCAAAGCTGTCTGCAGACTTTGCAGCACCGGTTCGATTCCCCGCCGGCCAGGGAGAACCCACATGGCGCGCAGACCTCTCCTGCCGCCCGCTGCTCCCCTCAGCAGTGTACTTCGGTCCTTCTGCCTGCTCTGCTCCCCGCTCTGGCTCTGGTGGATTCTCTCACCCTCCCATGCTTCTGACCTGTACCCCAGTTCGTGTATAAAATAAATAAATAAATCTTTTTTTAAAAAAAAAGAAATTTTGGAAAGGACCCCATGACACAAGAGGAATCTTCCATAGTCCAAAGTTATCCAAAGTGGGGCTCAAATCCAATCTCGTGAGCTAACCCTGAAGTTACGAGCCAAAGCTTAAGTGTGTAAGAATTTTTTTTTTTTAAGGAGAAAGACATAGAAACCAGGGGGAAGTTTCTGGAAGGGAGAGGACAGTGCCCAGAGCAGAAACCAAAACCATGTGCTTTGGTGTTTTTCAGGACGCAACACGTGTGATGCAGTGTCTGTGGACGTTTAACTGTATTCCCAAAGATATCATTCTTTGCACTTTTTCCAGAATCGTCACGCTTTGCCCAGTGACACTGGATCATTTCCTTTCCTTCTGGGATGATGCTGCCGCATGGCCTCACCCATCCACAAAACAAGAAGGACCTCAGCGGCCTAGACCTTGCCTTTTTCCAGTGACAACACCTCGCATCCCTTTGCTAAGCCGTTTGCCCTTGAACCTATTCAAGTGCAGAGCCCGCTGAAGAGGGAGGATGAAACAGGCTCCGGATTGCACAAGTGCCAGAGTGGAGTGCCTCTTTGCAAAGAAGCACCAAGACCTTCAGAAACACAGACAGCATGAAAAAGAATTCTCGTATCTTTTTGAAAAGCCTAATAATAAGAACAAAAATGAAACAAAATGCCCAAGTATCAAATTGATTTTTCCCATTGCGTTCAAATTCCCTGAAACATCAGCCATGAATGTCTTGCTGTACAAATTGTTATCTGTGAGGACAAAGCCTTCTGGTCTGCAGCTGCGCATATCTATTTAACCAGGTGAAGTGTCCAAATTAGCCGCGGACGTCCTTACTCTCAGGCAAAAGGAGTTAACTTTTTAAAAACATGAATTTTTAATTCATTGCAAATATACATTTTAGCCATATATGTACACAGAGAGGGAATATTGATTGTGTGTGTGTGTGTGTGTGTGTGTGGTGTGTGTGTGTGTAGTCAAGAGTCCACTATGTTCAGTTTACGGCAAAGAAGCCGGGCCTAGTGAGAGTCCTGCAGTGAAGCGTGCAACGGTCCAGTGGGTCTGGGATAGTCCCAGTGGCCTGTCTTTTTTTTTTTTTTTTATAGAGGCATGTTTTATTTATTTGTTTGTTTGTTTGTTTATGCAAGCACTGGGTACAGCCAGAAGCGCGGGAGGGTGAGAGAATTCACCAGAGCCAGAGCGGGGAGCAGAGCAGGCAGAAGGACCGAAGTACACTGCTGAGGGGAGCAGCGGGCGGCAGGAGAGGTCTGCGCGCCATGTGGGACCCTCCTCCGGCGGCCGGGGAGCAGCCGGGGATCGAACTGGCGCCGCAGAGGCCGCGGGCAGCTTCGCAACCCAGCGCTCAACTGCTGCGCCAGTGGCCTGTCTTGATGTTCAAGCAACTCTACGCTGATACGAGAATTCAGAGAAGATTCCCTGGGCGCTCACGAGTGGCACTCCATCTCAAACCGCGCTAGGCTCCGGGCATACAGCCAGAAAAGGCACCTGCCTCACTGTCAGAGAGTGGATCGTGTTGTGGGGGGAGCACAGACCACTCACCATGCTGTGGGGTCGGTGCTCTGACAGAGGGTGGTGGCAGCGGCATGGGGCAGGGACAGAGGGGGAGTCCCCGAGAGTGGGCGCTGAACGTGGTTTGGGGTAAGCCCAACTTACGCGGTTGTTTCCAGTCTGGTCCTTATAGTAAACCCAGTTCAGGCTCTCATCAGTTCTGTACTGCACACTGTACTTGGTCATCCACTCATCGATGTCACAGCGCCCCTGGGTGAGGATCCCCGAAATCACCTTCACCTCCTTCAGATCTATCTGTAACCACTGGCTGCTGTCCTGGAACTTGGACAGCCAAGCGCACCTGCCGGGGACACAGACAATCACCACGAGCCTTTCCCTGGGAGCATCCCACAACGCTGGGAGGCGCTGTCTTTTGAGGGGAGGTCAGAGCCTGAAGAGCCTCCACAAAGCCCAGGCGGTCTGGGCTGCAATCTGTTAAGCACCCAGAACCTTATCTCCAAGAAGGAGCCGGCTTGTTACACCGGTATCGTCCTCCCTCCCGGCCCTCTGCTGCCCAGAGAAAAGTTACCGGATTCGACTCATGTGTTCGAGAGCGTGCAGCCCCGTCCGCTCTGCTGTGTGGTGGCGCGTGTCTTCTTCAAAGCCTGAGGATCCGCGAGGAGGTGCACCTGCTGGGCCCCTCCCCTTTCCATCCAGCTCTGTGGGTGCTTTTCTCCATGAGTCTTTTTTCCCTGGAATTTCACCCTCCTCGCACATACCTGTGTCTGCTGGGGGCGCCGTCCCCCGTGGCTTGCAGGGAGTGTCTGCCATGAGCAGACGGAACCAAGTGGCTCTGGAAGGGCTTCTGACAGTTTGAAAGCCAACCAGGCATTGAACGAATTGATTTTTTTTTTTCCTTCTAGCTATGTCCCTCACAAATTGTGGAAAATTATAAACTTGCCCTGGGGTGTTTTCGTTTTTTGTGCTTTTGTTTGTTTGGAGGTTTATTTTTGCATATTAAGTAGCTTCCTGGAACCCATTCTTTGGCTGCCTTCTTTTTTAGTTCCAGACGTGCTTCTTGGATGGCTCCTGACTTTTTACTTCCATTCCAGACCTTTCTAGATTCCAAATCCTGAGAATCAGCTGCTGGCTAGCCAACTTCTCCTGGATACCTTACAGCTTCTCAAAGGAAACATGTCCAAAAGCGAGCTCCTTATTATCCCCATCCAACTCTCCTTCCAGTTGCCATCCCTTCAAGTGCTGCCCCAGCCTCCCTGGTGTTCATGCCAGCTATCTGAGCACCAGCCACCTGAGGGCTTTCTCTCTTTCACCTCAAACAGCCAATTCATTTATTGCTCCATCCCCAGTGTTTTTCAAATTCACTCACTTGTCTCCATTTCACTGTCACTGCCCCAGCCCACATCACCATCAACTCTTGCCTGGAGTGCTCCCATCGCTTGACTAGTTTCCCTGGATTTTGCCTGCCCCGCTAAACAGCGATCCCCACAGGAGTCACAATTTTTTTCTTAAAACACAAAACCGATTGTGATACTTCCCAACTTTAAATCTTCATCTGGAAGAGTCTGACAATTGTTTCCCAATATCCTCTTCTGGTCTTCCTTTAGTAATTTATTTTGGGCAGATAAATGGCCACCCAGGTAAGATCATATTTCCTAACTCCCTTGCAGCTAAGTGGACCGCCGGGCAAGGCCCGGCTTAACAGTCTTGTTAAGACCAAATTCTAGTGATTGGGATGTGGGCAGAAGTGGCCGATAGGATTTTGTTGGTATCTTAAAGGGGAAGTGTGCACTCTGCTTTTCCTTTCTCCTGACTGACTAGAACACGGATGTGATGGTGGAAGCTAGTGCAGCCATCTTGGGTCCCAATATGGATGCTTCGTATTAAGGATGACAGAACAACAAGGTAGGAAGAGTCTGGGCCCCTGATAACACCCAGCTGCCAAAACAACCCTAGACTGCCTAATAAAACTTGGATGAGCCAGAAATATACTTCTACGTTGCTTAAACCCATACTTTGGAGCTCTTAGTGATAGCAGCACAGACCTGTATTCTAACTAATGCACTTCCAGTTTCCTCCCAATGTACCTAAACTAAGGAGCACAATCCTTAATACGACTTACAAGGCCCTGCATGACCTGACTTCTGCTTACCTCGCCAGCCTTAGCTCACTGGAGCTCTAACCTTGATGGCCTGCTCTCCTGGTTCCTATCCATGCTCTTGAGGAAACTTCCTTAGAAAGCCTTCCCTGGTGCTTCAAATGCACCCAGTCTCTTCCTTCTCTGTCTCCTCCAAAGCACTTGTCATACATACCAAATGATGGGTTGTGTGATTAAGGCTTATACTGTTTCCCCCTCTAAACTGTGCTGTGTGAAGGCCAACGTCTCATCCTCCTTGCTCGCTGCTGTACCCACAGTCCTTGGCAGGTGGAAGGCACTCAGGCAATATATATTTAATAAGTAAATCCATTCTGTGTTGTCCATTTGTTAAAGAAACCTGATTTTTCAAATCACATGGGAAAAAAAGTCACCTGAACTGCCTGCTCTACTTACCCGAAGCCTTGACTGTTAAGCCTGGCCTTGCTGGCGGTCCACGAGGAATACCAGCCCACGTACTGCCCAACGTTGGAACAGGTGATCTGGTCGGGTGTAACCTCTCCTGATTCGAAACCCAGGGGCTTATGATATGGGCATTCTGTGAAAGGAAAGATAATGCACATTAAAACCCACGAACAGGGCCTCCCTGGTGGCGCAAGGGGCTAAAACGCAACCTATGAAGCTGTCTGCAGCCCTGCAGCATGAGTTCAATCCCCAGCTGGCCAGGGAGGAAACCATATGGCACAGCAAACCTCTCCTGACTTGCCCGCTGCTCCCCTCAGCAGTGTATTTAAGTCAGTCCACCTGTTCTGTCCCCCACTCTGTCTCTGGTGAGTCCTTTCACCCCCCACATCTCTGGCCTGTACCCCAGTTCTTGTATGCATAAATAAATAAAGCTTTAAAAAAAAACAAGACTTATGCGTTAAAAAAAAAAAAACCCACGAATACAAGCTGACCGAAAGGATGAGCCAAAATAAGCCATTTCATGTGCGCCTTGGAAGGTGGAGAATGTTTTACTTGTCAGCTTGGCACACAATGGGCAGAGCTGGGTCTTCAGCCTGTTCGCTGCTCATTCAAGAAAAGAGTGAAGATAAAGGGAAGAGATTGCCATAGAGACTCACAGCCTTTGTGAAAGCAGAGGGAAGCGATTCTATGGCAACCTCATGGGGGAGGGCTAGGGCCTCCTCCACAGATGTAGAGACCTAAAAATCCAGAGGTTTTCAGTGCAATCTCACACCTCAGTGCATGTTCTTTACTGTCCTCATTAACCGAGGTTTAGCCACCCTGGGTGATGTCATCAGGGCCCCTGATTGTCCTCTGGCAGCCGATGATGCCAATTATAGGAACAAAACAATGGTGAGAGGCAAGAATGGCAATTACATATTGAGACTGACTTCCCACTTGTAAATTGCAGTTTTCTCACAAGTCTAATTAAAAAAAAAAAAAATGTGCCTGAGTGACTGCTGAATAAGGAACAATGGAAAGGACCGGCTTTTTCCAAAAAAGAATGTTGCAAGCTGGTTCTCATATGTTAATTGTCTGCCGTCTCTCATGTATTTCCTCTCACATTAGACATGGTGTTGGGTCACCTGGTCCAAGACTGCCAAATGCCAACCCAGTATCCATTCTCCCCTTCTTTTTGACTAAAAAACTCTAATTTTGTTGAGGCCAATCGTGTAGCCAGCTTAAAAAGAAAAACGAAACAATCTTCTCAGTTTCTCTTGCAGTTAGAAATGAACATAGGACAAAATTTCTGACCACTGAGATATAAAAGGATGTCTCCTGGAATTCTGACCAAGTTTGTTTGCCCCCTCTTTCTTCCTGATGTCAGGAAGGAAGACCTGATGGCTGGTGCAATGGTAGCTATTTTGCACCATATGGGTAAGGCCAAGAAAGCTACAGAAGCCTCAGCCCTGATATCCTTACACAATTCCCTGTCCCTGGTCTATTTCCCATGTGAGTCCAAATAAAACTCCTAATTCAATGAGCCACTATTTAGAGGGTCTTGTATTTATAACTAAAAGCAGTTGCTAGCTGAATCTCTGTAGAAAACAACTGATAAACTTATGCAAATACAGTGTCCAACTTCTCCAATTGTGAATGATAAACTTCAAGTATGATAAATCATATTATCTTTTTTTTTTTTTCTGTGTGTAAAGCTGAGTTCAGATGGAAGAACCTAACTCCTTTACTTGGGGCACTGTCATCTAAAACAGTAAAATGAGTGTTGAGATCTTTATAGAGACTGAAGAAGCCAGTAAAACTGAACGAAGCACACAGGACTTGAGTGTCATCCTGCGGTTCTAGAATGCCTGTAGGGACAGTAGTGCCCTGTTCCCAGAGGCAGAAGAGGACAGCTTCAGGTCACCGGTCAGGGGGACTGGGCTCATTCTGCCCAATGTACCGGAGGAATCAGTTCAACTTCCCCCAGTAGCGGCAGCTCATTGGGGTTGGAGGTGAGTACAATGCATTTGTAGTTTATCCAGTAACCTAGGCAATAGGGGCCTTTAAAGTCAGGTCAGTTCCTGGAGCGCTTCAGGGACTACTCCCTCCCGCTTTGTGGGACTGGATCGTGGGGTGGGGTGGGGGGTGGGAGGTGGAGGGACTGGCTAAGAATGCAGTTTTTAGGATTCTACCCCCCAAACAGCTGGGTTCTGAACAAGAACACTTTCAGTGCGCTTTGCTGGGGAAGGTATTTTGTCGGTGGGAGGGTTGGGGGTGGGGGAGCTTTCCCCCATGGCCTTAGGCGTTCTCCCACCTCCTCAACTCCCCTCCAGAAAGGCAAGCCCGGCCTGGCAAAGGGACAGGCTGCAGTGTTAGCGGAGAGCTGGATTTCAACTGGGCCCTTGGTGTTCACTTTTAAATTCTAACCCTCCAGCCCCCCACTTCCCTTTTCTTGCTCCAGGGCCCCAGCTTGGAGGAGAGGGCAGGAGGGGAGGAAGCTTCTGTAGCCATCTCTCCTCATGGCTTTTATTCTTGACATTTTGCTCTTTCTCCTTGTCTCTCTTTTGCCAGTTCTTCCCAATTAGCCAGGCTAACCCTTAAGAGTGGGGTGGACCTGCCACGACCTGGCAGGTGGCAATAACCTGAGAGGCCTGCAACGGCTTGTCCAGAAGTGGGTCCTGCTCACACTCCCCAGGGGAGGCCATGAGCAAACCGTTCCCATGACTTCAGCCGTCATGTGGGAGTCTATGGCTGACTCCCAGGCCCCAAACCTCATCCTCATCCCACTGCACCCTGAATATTTTCCAGGCAAACAGTTCTATCGAGGTGACCCAAAGAGACTTCTCACCCCATAGGTCCAAAACCCAGGCCTTCAACATCCAAGCCCCAAGCCTGCCCCAGCCAGGCACTGGCACTTATAGCTACTCGGCCTCTAACTCAGAAACCTGGTGCTTTGACCCAGGGAAGATGTGAATATTTTACGCACATATATTAGACTTGAATATGTGTGACAATATACTAGAGTACAGAATAATATTCAAACAAGAATAGAGTATAAACTTGAATATAATATAGAATGCAAAATCTAGTAAAAAAAATAAAGCATTAGTAAATCATTGGATTTCTGATACTGTTAGGGGGAAAAGGCTGTCCTAAAGCTAATTCCATACAGGCTTTGTGGACTCCACCCCCACCCCAAGCCAAAGCCAAAGACACTGGGAACTCCAAATCCCATCCCCACCAAAGGGAAGGTGCCTGGGACCTGAGGGTGGGGTTAAGCAGCCAGGTTGGTATAAAGCCAGACACGTGGGCTTTGGGGGATTCCCCATTTTGGCGGCCAGCTCTGAGGGTGCCTTTGGGTTTCCAGGTCGGCAGATCGGGTAGGACACATTAAAGACTTTATTTCCCTATTTTCTCCCTGAGTTGTACATTTCCTCAATTCCTTTTCCCTTGTAAATAAACCTTTTATTAACCTTTTGTGTGTGTCTGCAGTGGAGTATTCATAAGTCCCTTGTAAGCGCGCAGGTGAGGACTCACAGCCAGGCACCCCGTTTTATATCAGGGCTGCTCCGTAACAATACGTTCCCTACCCTATATCCCCTTCTCAGAGTGGTGAAGTAATCTTGGTTCAATTGTGAAAAAAAAGACAGATCTTTTAGTATTTTTAACAGCGTTAGGCCAAAGATCAGGGAGCCATAATGCATCTGGTCCCCTCCTGCTAGTCGGGGGTCCCTGGCAGTAAAGATCAGTGTGAGTCTGGGAGCGAGTCCTGGCAGCTTGGAGAGACCCTCTTGTCCTGCGCGTCAGGCTCTCTCTCTTTCTCTCTTAAGGTAGGCTCTGCTGGCAACGCTGAATCTCAGGTTCCAGAGAGACCAAGAAGCATCCTTGCTGTTCAGATGAAGATCTGAGGCACGATGGACAAGGGCTTCTGGAAGATTGTGCCTAGTCCTGCTGCCCTGAATCATTTCTTTCATGGAAAAATCAATCAACACTAATGAGTCAACCATTTAACACTAAGGTTGTGATTTTTTTCCTTCCTGGAAACACCTGTGTTAAAACAGCAACCATGAAAGCAAACACCAGTGGGGGACAGCAACTGAAGGTAAGGAATTTTTGATTTCAGAATTTCAAGTTGATGGCAACTGCGTGGGGCACAGAGCTTGAGGGACCCTCAAGGACTCTTTGGCTTCACCATCTTTCGGCCAGGGAAGCCAATCTGCATACGGAATCTCTTTATTTCTCAGAAAGAGCATCTTTGGAAGGGAAGGCCAGCAGGCCTCCTGCAGGGAGGAGACCCCTTTCCTAGGGAATTGTAAACTCCTCTAGGGTGGAGAGGATGCCTTTGCTTTGTTTGTCTCCCCATTAGTGCCTGGCACATAACCGCCTGTGATGAAAGTGGGGGCGAAATGAATGCTAGATGGATTGTCAAGAAGGCTGCTGCAGTACTGACCGGGAGAGCGTGCCAGCACCAAAGGCGGCAGGAGCCAATGCCATGGAGTGCGGTGGCACTTCCTGTGGGTAAAGTCCAGCCAGCGAAACAGCCCTGACTGCTTCCTCACCACCGCAGCCACTGCTCCCTTCCAGAAGGCTCAGTTCAGAAAGGGTTTCCTACCCCTTCAGTAAATGAGAAAACAGAGGCTCCCTCTGTTCCCGGAAATTTGCTATTTTAATGCAAATTCAAAGAAATAATGAAGAGAAGTTCTGGTGCAGACTTGCAAACCTGGCTCTCCTGGAGCTATTGTTAGGAGATTGTGTAAAATGAATGACTTCGCTGGGCGCCATCAGCACCCTGGGGGTGGGGGGTGGGGTGGCACAGAGGTTTCATGCAAATCACCTCTGAGCCCTGGAGAGGACTGAGCTTTGCAAATATTTGCTGGGCCGTCCCATGCTCTGAAAGTCAGAGTGTGAGCTCTAAGAGGCAGGAAGAAAAGGATGCGACTGTTTGCCTGGTACAATCCAAGAAGCTTTATTGCCTCATCCGATTTACTCCACATAATAGCTCCTTAGAGCAGGGGCGGGCATGCTGTGGGCCTTGGGCAAACTGTGCATCCGCCACCTGCTTTGATGAGACAGTCCGGGTAGCAGCCAGCCATGCCATCGCACGGACATACGACATATGGCTGCCTTTACACTACAGCTGTGGGATGGGAGGGTTGAGGCCTTGGGGCCTGCAGGGCGGCACTTATTTACTGTATTCATCACTGAAGGCTGCGTCATGCTGCAGAACAGCTAGGCCTTAACATTAAAGAGACTTAACACAACAAAGGTTCACTTTTACTCAAGTGACTTGTCCATTTTGGGTCTGCGGGCAGGGGGCTTTCTGCGCCATTTAATCAGCCCAGGCCCCAGGCTGAAGGAGAGTCACTTTGTCAAGGAGGGAGAGCAGAGTCCTGGCCCTGGCCCTGGCGCCACGCGGGCTGGAGTGTGGGGCAGTGCGCAGTGGCCGGTGCACCATCGACAGCCAGGCACTGCAGTGCTCCCTCCATCCCCTCCCTGGGACAGAAAAAGGATGCAGTTGCCATCCCAGAGTTAAAAACTGATGCAGCCAGGATTCCAACTCTGGAAAAAAAAAAAAAAAACACAAACCCAAAAAACACCTGTACTCCTCTCAGGACTCCCTGCCTCCTACCACAGATTTATTTTCAATAAATCTCATGAATGTCTTTCACTGGAAGCAGGGCCCATCTTCCCATCTCACCCCAGCAAAGTCCAGAGCCGTGAAGCTGTCGCTAAGCAGTGACATCGGTGCAGTGAGACAAGAGGCTCAGAAGCCAAGTGGCGCACCCCCAGAGTAAAGGCTTCCTTCAAGGGCTGTGATTTGGTCAGGTCGGAAGGAAGAGAAATAGGACACCCCAAGGATCTGGTGCTCCAGGGAGAAGGGACACTCACCCGGTATGCAGCTTAAGGTGGTGGTGCCAGCAGACCACAAGGTGCTGGCACTGCCTGGGCAGTCACACTTGCATGCTTTGTGGTACCACAGATCTTCGCCCTCATCCTGCAGGGAGCCGGAGGGGAAGGCATCAGAAAAGTCTAGTTAAAGTCAACTGTGGTCAACTATGGCCAACATCACAGGGAAAACTGGCGCTCGAGGACCTTGCTCGTTCATGACTTGTCTCTGGCTGCAGCAGAACTGAATTATCAACCTGGCCTTGGCACAAAGTGGGCCCTTGTCTTTTTTTTTTTTTAATGCATACAAGAGCTGGGGTGCAGGCCAGAATTGTGGGGGGGGGAGTGAAAGGATTCACCAGAGACACAGTGGGGAGCAGAACAGGAGGATTTACTGAAATACACTGCTGAGGTGAGGGGAGCAGTGGGTGAGCCAGGAGAGGTCTGTTGCACCCTGTGGGTAGCTCCCTGGCCAGGGATCGAACTCATGCTGCAGTGGCTGCAGATAGCTTCATAGGTTGCGTGTTAACACTTGCGCCACCAGGGAGGCCCCTCAATCTGCCTATTCTGTCCCCCACTCTGTTTCTGGTGATCCTCTTACCCCCCACACCTCAGGCCTGTACCCCAGCTCTTGTATGCATAAATACATAAATCTTTAGAAAAAAAATACATTTTTTAAATATGTGATAATCCTGCACCGGCATACCTCGTTTTATTGTGCTTCACTTTATTAGGCTTTGCAGATGTGTTTTTCACAGGACTCTCCACCAACAAAAAGATTAAGACTCACTGAAGGGGGCTTCCCCGGTGGCGCAGCGGTTGAGCGCTGGGTTGTGGGGCTGCCCGCAGCCTCTGCAGTGCCGGTTCGATCCCCGGCTGCTCCCCGGCCACCGGAGGAGGGTCCCACATGGCGCGCAGACCCCTCCTGCCGCCCGCTGCTCCCCCCAGCAGTGTACCTCGGTCCTTCTGCCTGCTCTGCTCCCCGCTCTGGCTCTGGTGAACTCTCACCCTCCCGCACTTCTGACTGTACCCAGTGCTTGTATAAATAAATAAAAATAAATCTTAAAAAAAAAAAAAAAAGACTCACTGAAGGGCACAGATGATGATTCTGATCTTTTTTTTTAGTAATACAGTATTTTTTTAAAAAGATTTATTTATTTATACAAGAACCAGGGTACAGGCCAGATGTGTGGGAGGGTGAGAGGATTCACCAGAGACAGAGCGAGGAACAGAGCAGACAGACTGACGAAATACACTGCTGAGGGGAGCAGTGGGTGAGACAGGAGAGGTCTGCTGTGCCATGTGGGTTTCTCCCCGGCTGGCCGGGATCGAACCCATGCTGCAGAGGCTGCGGACAGCTTCACAGTGCGGTGCTTAACTGCCTCCACCACCAAGGAGGCCCAGTAATACAGTATTTTAAATTAAAGTCTGTACATGGGTTTCTTAGACACAATATAATTGCACACTAATACACTATGATATAGTGTAAGCATAAGTTTTCTGTGCACTGGAAAACAAAAAAATTCATATGATTTATTTATTGTGATATTCCCTTTATTGTGATACTTGTTTCACTGGGGATAGTCTGGAAACCACATCCCTAATATCTCCAAGGTGTGTCTGTACATTATTTTTGATTAAGATAATCTTCAAAAACATCATCCATGTCAATGCCAGCCTTCTCAGTGTAACATACCTCAGTGGACGATAATCCCAGAGTGGCTGAACAGAAGGACAGAGAAGAGAGAAATTAAGTTTAAAAAAGAAAGAGAAATTCAACAAAATGACTCATAAAAGTTAACAAAGCCCCTTCTGGAAGAGGTAAAGGTAATTAGATATCTACCAGGATAACCCCTGCAGATGCGGAGAAACTCGAAATAATAAGGAGAAACAGAAAGATAAGGAGAATTATTAGCTTTGTTCATGATAGAATTTTGGAAATTACATTATTATAATAAAGGGGAAGGAAAAGCACCTATATTTCTTATCACCCAGGCAACACTTAACAATATTTTCAGTTTTTTTACCTTCCTTTAAAAACATATTTGAGAACCTACTATCTAAATAAGGTTCTAAGTTTATGACTTCCTTTTCCACTTAACATTAATAGTGTGAGCTTTTTACTTATTAACTCTCCATCATCATCATCATCATCACCATCATCCGGATATCCCCCCTTATATCTGCCAAATGAGCTACTCAGGAGTTGAGCCTCTGACCCCCTCCTTTAGTACATGTAGGTTATTATTTATTTATTTATTTATTTATTTTTTGGTGGGACCCTCGCCGGCGGCCAGGAACGAACCGGCGCTGCAGAGGCTGCGGGCAGCCTCACAGCCCAGCGCTCAGCTGCTGCGCCACCAGGGGAGGCCCACATTTAGGTTATTTTGGATGGTAGTTTGGAAAATGTTTTAGTTTTGTCCACAATAGATAGGAGATATAGTTATAAATAGCATGTAAATAACGTGAGAAATTTAAAAGTGTGCAAAATTTAACACAAAACTTACATAGAAACTATGTTTAAAAAATTTTTTTTAAGATTTATTTATTTTTATACAAGAGCTGGGGTACAGGCCAGCGGTGCACGGCGGGGGGGGGGGGTGAGAGGATTCACCAGAGACAGAGTGGGGAGCAGGCAGACAACCGAAATACACTGCTGAGGGGAGAAGCAGGTAACACAGGAGAGGTCTGCCATGCCATGTGGGAATCTCCCTGGCTGGCTGGGAATTGAACCCGTGCTGCAGAGGCTGCGGACAGCTTCACAGCGCTGCGCTCAACCCGCTGCGCCACCAGGGAGGCCCAGAAACTATCTTTATAGAAGTACCAATAAAGAGAATGAACACACAATTTAATAGGAAAAGAATTTGTGTATATTAATCTAAACTGATTAGATTGTTCTGCCCAGTGCAGCAGCCCCTAGTCCCATGAGGCTATTTGAATTCCCATTAGTTAAAATTAATAGAATTAAAATTTCATTCCTCAGTTGCACCATCCACGCTTCAAGTGCTTAATAGCCCCATGTGGCTGGTGGCTCCTGTACTGGACCACACAGAAGCTTCCACCAGAGATCATTGGTTCAAAGCCCCATTTTCAACAAAACAAACACCTTCATTTCATTTCTGACTATGAGAGCAACACATGCCTATTGTAAAAATCTCAAACAAAACCTAAGTGGAGAAAGTAGGAAATCAAAATCCTTCCTGAACCACTTTCCTATCTAAAAATTGAAACTGACAAGAAAAGCTTTCAGATTGTTTTAGAGAGTCGGGATGGTCCCATCTTTTTCATCATAATTATAAACCCTATCTATTTCAAATTGGGCCTTCATTTTAAAAACAAATAGGGAGTCGTTCTGTCAACCACTGATGTGTGCCCACTGTGAGCCTGGCACTTCAGCGGAGCGCAGGCCTTCTGAGATGGATGCCTTGCACTCTGCTTATAAGGGACCCAAGGGCCCAGGAGAAGACAGACCACCGGACGATGCACATGGTGAGTATTCCCTGGGGTATGTGTAGGCTGTGCTCAGAATCTGGGGTGCTCTCTTTTAGCTGGGGCAGATTCAGTGCCACCCCATGCCCCTCACCACCAGCAGTGGTCACCAAAGTGCTGTCTCCCCTGCGTCCTTGTCCACTGATTATTCATTCCTAGATGCTCCTTGTTTACTTGCTATGGGCGAACTGACTCTTGTGTAGCAAGGTTGGGATGTACCATCCTGATAGGAGACTACGTTAGTATAATGTCTGTGCCAGGACCCCACACAGACAGGGGTGGAGCAAGTATTTGGGGGGTGGATTGAATGGAGATGTTCCCTTTATGAGGCCTGTGGGACAACCAAGTGTTGAGGTGGAGTGCATAGGTGGCTGGAATCTTCTAGAACTCAAGAGAAAGCCCAGGTAGCCTGGGTGGTACACTGCGCTCCTTGCAGCTAACACATATGTGACCCCATGGGCTCAGTCCCGCAGCTATTCCCAAGAACTGCAAAGTGACGAGAAATTATCATCTTTCTTATTTGGGGGGGCGGGGCTCAATCCAGGAAGCACTGGGCTCCACTCCCATCTTTAAGAGAAACCGGGGAAGGCTGAAATGCAGAAAGACCTGGTCTGTTGGGCAAATATCAAGTGTGCCAGAGTCTTTTGGGGGGGACCAGAGGTAAGGGATGTCAGTCTCTGACAGCGTAACCTGAATAACCGAAGCGTATGTCCCAGACACGGTGCTGCCGTCCAAGAGGGTCTACGTAGCTGCAACTGAGCAAAGCCAGGGTTCAAATGAGGCTCGGGACCCCTCTGGTTGCTTTTGTATTGCCCAGATCCGAGAGTGGGCCCTGGACTGGTTCTGCATTTGGCAGAAACAACACTGAAGGCAAAAAAGGAAAAGGAGGCAGGTTCAGCCGCTGCCTGCCAGCGGGGAGGAGACCTACGAGGAAGCGCTGGTCTCAGAGCCCCCGACTGCGTTCAATCCGGTGTTGAACAGATTTCTGGTGTTTTTTTCCCTCCTCGGCTCCCTTCCCCAGAAAGCGTTTGTCGGCAGCCTGGGGTTCTGGGGCACCAGATCCTTATGGAAACGAGCAGAAAGACTGAGAACAACAAGCATTTTACAGAAAAAGCTGTCACCAAGGGAGCAGCAACGCGGCTGCGCTAGTCCCCCCAACGATTTAATCACCCAAAAGCTGGCGGACAAAAGCAAAAGCATGTTCGACTACAACATCTCATAATACCAGAAAATAACATGGTTGGAGGGAGCAAAAGAAAACAGGTCCACTTTTAAAGAGAACAATGTAAAAAGTTTCAATTCTGTGGCTGCAGATTTTTCTCCCTACTGGGATTGTTTTCATGCTTCCTCCACCAGCTGGGGGTTCCCACCTACAGCCTGAGGTGTCTACTATCACCCACCGAATCTAGACTTAGGCAATGTGGAGTCGTTCTGCCCTTTGACCCAAAGGTGCCAGTCTCTGGGGAAACCCTTTTTATCACTGCAAGAAAATTCAAGGCATGCTTATTTCTCAAAATGCAAGCCGAAGAGTGAAGTGCATCAGACACACCGAGGAAAGATTATTTTAGTCTCTTTGACTGTATGTGACCAAATACAGAGCTTTCCTTCCCATGGAAACAGATGAAGCTGAGGAGAAAAAGCATAAAATTATGAATGATAAAAACCTCTTGGTAACCAGCTTCCAATCTACTTGAGAAACAAGAATAACATGCAGCAGAAAAACGGCAGGCCGGGATAATGTCCTTCTCTTGAAGAAGAGAGAAGGGAATTGCTTCTGGTGTGAAAGTGTTACTATTTTCGGTGACAGGCATATCCATGGGTAATTCTGTTAGCGGTACATGCTTCAGCACAGATGAACCTCAAAAACATATGCTAAGTGAAAGACAAAAGACCGTATGTTGTGTGATTCCATTTAGGCGAAATGTCCAGAAGAGGCAGATTTATTCAGACAGAAAGTAGACAGGTGGCTGCCGGAGACTGGGGGAGAGAGAAATGGGGAGTGAGTGCTTCATGTCTGTGAGGTTTTGGGGGGTGATGAAAATGTTCTGAAATGAAATTGTGTGCTCCGCAAGTCTGTAAACATACAAAAAATGAATTGCACGTTTTAGACGGGTGAATTTAATGGTATGTAAATCACATCTCAATAAAGCTGCTGCAGAAAAAAATCGCTGTCCTTGATGGTTGACATATCGGCAGAGAGAACACACTCACTATAATATGAGGGTGAGGGATCTTTTAAAATATATGTATAATAACCCTGACCATGTAATGGACTGATGCAATTTAATAAGATAAATGTTCTTGAAATCATCACTGGCATTGAATCCCACATTCCGACATAAGATAAATAGAAGCCTGCCTCGGTTACAGGACATCAGCAGTGCTCTATTGTGATGATTTGTGCATTCCCAAACGAACTTTCATCCAGCGCATTAGAGAAGGCAATCCATTTACCTTATTTCACTGTAATGAGGAGCCACCACCACCAGGGAACAAAACAACAAAGTAAATTAGACAAAGAACCTTTGTTGTCAGGTTCCCACTTGGGCTGTGAATGCATCTTTTTTTTTCCCGTGGGGGTTATTTCTCCATCTGGACTGTGAACTGACTGAGTGCAGCGATCGTGTCCTGTCTTTGTGTTTGTGTCTCCTGGAGCGTGGCTCTAGCGCCAGGTAGAGCCCTGGCCACTTGCAGCTGGCTACTTTCCTGCCACAGGAGGGTGCAGGGCCCGAGTTAGGTGAGTAAGAGAATTTAAGATTCCCAAGCCTACACCTTGGCTACATTCCATTCTACCTGGGCAGATGGGATTCTCTGGTCTTTGTGGACATTTCTGGTGCTTCATGGCCATGCACAAAGATTGGTAAGCTATAGAACAGGAAAGAGTCCCATGCTCCCTGCCTCCTACAGTGTGTCTTTGATTACATGTATCCCCTGATGGGTCAGGTCTAGTTTAAAAATGTGTTGGTAAACTTTTATGGGGGGGGCACAGAGAAGGGTTGTGACTCAGCGCTGTGAAGGCTGCAAGGATCTGCCCTGCATGTCAAGTTGTTACACATTTGGCCCATTGCAGCAGGTACTCAGGGATGGGTTCTGGAACAAACCGACAAGTGAATGAATGGATAGATGGATGGATGGATGGATGGATGGATGGATGGATGGATGGATCTCAACGCTGATTATCAAGAAGAGAGAGCTGAGTCATAGAGGAGATCTCAGTCATATATGAGAATCCAGGTATCCAGATTTAAGTTTAAAGACTCTGTTTAGATTTTCTTGCTGAGGAAAGTACAAAGAGTAAAGGGAAAACAACAAACCCCCCAAGCATCTTAAAGTATTGAGAGTTTCTGGGGCAAGTTGCTGATTCTTATTTGCAAAGGGGAAGAGAGAGTCTAAATGATTCCTACTTAGAAATATATTTGTGTTTGCAAAATGACCTTGGGATTATATTTTTACAGGCCTTTCCAAATACTGAGAAATGTGACTAGATAATCAAAGTCAGGAGATTGTGGACTCACTGAAGTGATACTCTATCAATGAAATACAATGAGAGGGTAGAGAGAATGTCTGCTAGGCCACTTGCAGAGCTGAGAGGCCTCTTCCTTCTCGACTCCCTTATTTACTTCCTGTAACGCATATAAACATACGGTGACTACAACAAAGACATCCAGCCAATTTATTTCTAATGTCCAGAATGAACCTAAAAAGGGATTCTTAGTTATGGGTCATATCGTTGAGAGATGAAAGAGGAATAAAGGACAATTATTTCAAAGATTGAGAGAGAATTTGAGAGTTGCATTGGATGACATTTTAGAGATTTGCCTTTAAGTTTTCTATAGTTAAGCATATCATTCCCGCCAGGGCCATACCCAGAAATTTTAAAATGACTAAAGTGTATTGAGTCTTCAGGGGTTTCTTACTTCTCAGTTGGATTATGCTTTCTATTAGAGTTCAGTGGTACTCGTTTGTTATGTTAATCCATATTTAAACTAGGGTAACCCCACATCCAGATTTGCCTGGGGCAGTCCTGGTTTAAACACCTGTTATCCCAGGAGAATTATTAATAGCATCCTTTTCCCCTCCCAATAGTGTCCTGACTTGGAAGATTCAATTCTACAATCACTCTAACTTTGATTTCTAAAAATGTTCAAGAAATGCCACACTTATTCACTGCTGTAATTTATAGCTATTTATATAATTCCCAAGACCCTTCTTTCCTTCTATCCTATTTTAAGCATTCATTGTACTTTAGGAGGCTCCTCGCAGACCCAGAAAGCCAATGACAACACAAAGAGACAATATCCACACAGACAGCTGTTGTTCATTAATGACATCCATGCATTAATTAACATGCCTTGCTAATTGGTAGTATTTTAATTATTTGGGTTGCATTTATTATTAATTTGGATTGCAATATTATCAATTCAATTGTGTTATTAAGTATTTAATGAATGCTAATGGTTGGGCAGTACATACCTTCATAGCCAAACAGCAGTAAAACCAGGAGGCCTTCTATCTTGGGTGGCATTCTCCCTTTGTCCTTGGCCTTAGAGAAGTGAAGAGCTTCCCCAGGAGCAGAAGCTTAACTTGAGCACTGGCCTCATTAAGCATCTTATTCTTAGGGCTTTGGCTGAGCCCCACCAAGTTACCCCACATATTTAGCTGCCTCAATAAGGAAGTCTCAGAGAAGAAGCTACTGTCAACTGAGATCGATTTACCAAAGAAAGATATGGCTTTATTCTGTCTTTAAATGTAAGTGAAGCAGTGCAGGGAAATAGAAATTAAAATTAGAAGGACCAAATGCTAATCCTTTCTCTGCCATTGTTTTCTAGGGGGTGACCTTGAACAATTTCCTGCCAAATAAGCGCTAACATTGTGGAATTCTATGAAATGACATGGATTCCCATCTTAGAAAGCAACATGACATCATGGTCATACCTATTCATTCAGTAAAATACTAAGTCTGGGTGGGAGGAACAGTGCACACAAAGATGTATATTGTCATGTCACTTATAATAACAAAAAATTTGAAACAATCTACATAGTCAAGCTTAGGGGGTTCAATGCAGCAAGTAGTATTAAAAGCACAGATTCTCAAACCAGATTGGGTGCAAATCCCAGTTACATGATCCTGGGCAAGTGACTTAAGGTGTCTGGGTCTCAATTTTCTCATCTATAAAATGGTGATAATAATGTCTATTTCATAGTTATTTCCAGGCTTAAATATACATAGAATATTATAAATAAATAAAATAATTAGGACAATGATTGACATCATTAGCTATTATTAATATACAGCCATTAAGACAAGTTGATGTGCGGAGGGGAGTTGTTTACTGAGTATAGAACTTCGGTTTTGCAAGATGAAAAAGTACTGGAGATCTCTTTCACAGCAACGTGAATATGCTTAACATCACTGAACTGTAGTGTTAAAAAACAGTTAAGATGGTTTTTAAAAAAAGATCAAGTTAATGAAGTAATTGTAGTAACAGGGACAGTCATGTGTTATATTTAAGTTAGTTAAGGGTGCAAATGTATAACTATGAGCAGAATGGTGTGGGAAAATGCAGAGAAAAATACTGAATTTCCCCTTTCCTTTTTAGTTTTTGGCCACCAGTATCTTGCTTCAGCCCTCAGGTCTCCAAAAAGTGAGAGTAGTGCTTAGTCTTTGTTTTTCAGGCAGCCATTCTAGAGGCAGGGCCATGCCAAGCTGCTACAGAGCCCTGGTAACCTCCTCTACCGGCTGTGTGTTTATCATATCATTTCTGCTTTTACCATATGTGGTTATATTAGGTTTTCTATCCCGCCCCTGTGTTTTGTATTTTAGGGTTTAACGAAAAATTAAGCCACTAATAAGAAACCTTTAACAATTCAATTTGCAGTCCTACCAAACTTTAGCTGGAGGAGGTCGGGTTCGTTTCTGAGAGCACCAGTATGAGAGGAGAGGTAGGAGTTGGGGCCAGGTGGGGCCCAGTTGAATCCTTGCATTACAATGCTTGTCGGACTCTGGTGATTTCTCATGGCATTGCACCTGCGGGAAGGAGATGGTATCTGTCATATATTGATCTATTTTTTTTAAGGAGAAATAAAACCTGTCATTGCTTTTCACTGTGTACCCTGATGGTAAAGGGACAGGGGAAAATGAAAACACAACTTGCCAGCTATGGTTCCACTGGGGCTCGAACCCAGGACCTTCTGCGTGTAAAGCAGACGTGATAACCACTACACTATGGAACCCTCGCGTTGGGAGCTGCGTAGTGATTTTATTCAAAGTTCTCTGTCAGCAATAGCGTCTCTGAAGCCCCGCCCCCTCAGCGTAGCCCCACCCCCGCCGTGGCCGCCCCGCGCGCGGCGAGGCGCGGTGCTCGCGGGGAGTGAGGGGCGCCTGGCGTTGGGCGGCTTGCAGCCCCTGCTGACCTAACGCGTCGCTCCTGAGCCCAGTGGGGAGCCCGGCCCGGGTCACCCTCCTAGGGGAGGACGCCGCTCCGCTAATCACCGGTTCCCAAACTTTCCCTCAGTCGGCGCGTCGGCGAGGCTGACTGGCCGGCGGAAGCGGACCTTTGAACGGCCCCTGCTGGCAGCTTCCCTGCGCCTGGGAGGGAGACGCGCTTCCCCCGGTCACCCCCGCGCCCCCTTCGCCGGGCGCGCTGAGCCTGGTCGCCCCTAGTGACCTGCCGCCGCGGCCGCGGCGGGGAGCCTGGAGTCCCGAGCAGGGCGGGCAGGAAGCGCCCTTCCGAGCAGGGAGGGCTTCAGGCCGCGAGGGGTCAGCGGGCCTGCTGTGGGGTCGTTGTCGTGTTGGCGTCTATTTCGCCACGGTTGCCACAAGGCCGGTGGTCAGTCGCCTCTTGCCGGAGAATGTGGCCCTGACTGCTCCCCTGGCGTTTTCCAGAGCATTCTTCCCCTCTTCCCCTCCCCAAGCCTGAGAGGGGCGAAAAGTGGCGGGCTTTCGTGGAGGGCTTTTTCGGGCCTGGGCCTGGGGTGGGGTTAGGGACGGTGGGGTAGACAGGTGGCTCTTTATGGCCGGGGAGAGTGAGTGAGTGAAGCACGACCCGCCACAAGATTTGAGGGGCCCCGTGCAAAGGGCGAGTTGCAGGTCCCCTGTTCAAAAGTGACCAAGAATTCGGGCCGCGAAGGTGTCCGCACAGGGGCCTGCTGCTCGGCCTCCAGAACTAGCCCCTGGGACCTCCCTTACCAAGGACCCTCGTGTGGTCTCCCTTCTTGGCTTTCATGATCAGAGCCACGTGCCTTCCCGGGAGCTTCTGGGTGCGGCTTCACCTTTCCAGGCCGGCTCCGCTGCCCTTAAGCTTCAAAACCCACTTGAAACCATTGGGGGAGCATCGTTAAGCGCCCAGTTGGACATGACGCTTGAAGCCTGCAGCTGTCTTTCCCCTGGCATCTCCTCCGAGGCTGGCAGGATGCTGGAGTAACAAGACTGAAAGCAGCCCCTTCAGCCAGGCACCTGGAAGAAACAGGTGGGTGGAAGGTGCGCTCATCTGGGGTGGGGTGGGGCACACTGTCAGGATTCTGGTCCTGTCTTGGCCACTCACTAGCTTTGTGCTCTTGAACTGGCAACTCACCTCCCAAGCCTTAGTGTCCTTTCTCCTTCGTGAGACTGGTAATTTGGACGAGACACCCGTGCTTCCCCTCTGGGTCTACGAGTTATCCACACTTTCCAGGTGAGAATGTGGAAGCTGTTATCTGTCAAGTACGTTTTTCCAGAGAAGTAGAGGCAGCTAGTGCTTGGGTTTTCTAGTACCAGGTTTTCCATGTCCTCATACCTCCCAGAAATATTCATCAGGGGGCCCCTCCAGAACGCCTTTCTGTTGATACATTTCAAGAGGCCTGTTGAGTACTCGATGCTTAGATTGTGAGCCACCAGACGATCTGGAGTGGACTGCCACCAGCCAGAGGGTGAATTCATGAACTCTCTGTGTTTTCTGTAGTTGGTGAGCCCCAGTAACCCCTGGGAAGGCCAATAAAAATATGTTTCCAAACCCCCGTCAGTTCAAGATAAGACTGTCAGGAATTAGGCCTCCAGTTGTACTCACCAGTTGGGTTTGCTTTGTGTCTCTAGGGAAGGCTTGGCTCTCCTTCCAGCTTTCAGTCTGCTCTTCTTGTAAGGGTGTTTTTGCCAAGTCAAGCCTTGGCTACGTTTCCACAGGTAACTCCAGGTAGAAAAGAAGCTGGTGTGCCTCTGATGCATGCAGCACAGGTTTTTGCCTTTAGCAAAACACACTCCTGTACCTTTTTTCCATTCTGACGAAGAGTGAGACTTGTTCCCCTTCCCTGCTGCCCTCAAGGTATAGTCACTATCGCTTTCACTAGTCAAGTGCCATATGGTTTACAAAGCATTTTCACATACATTCCAAAGAGGTAGCCTATTACTATCTCCATTTTTCAGGTGAAGAAGTGGAAGCCTAAGAGTTTGAATGCCTTGACTGAGACTAATTTGCTGGTGAGTGGCAGGGCTGGGTTCATACTCAGTCTTATATCTAAGTGACTTTTGGAGACCCATGACCCCAAAGGCTCTGTGTTGTTCCCATGAGAGTGTTGCTGGTCCCGTGTAATATTTTGTCTTCATGACAGTGAGGAAATAGTTAACGTTTTATCTTCTGTAATTTTTTTTTAAAGATTTATTTATGCATACAAGAACTGGGGTACATTGCAGAGGTGCAGGGGTGAGAGGCTTCACCAGAGACAGAGCGGGGAACAGAACAGGCAGGCTGACTGAAAAACACTGCTGAGGGGAGCAGCAGGCGAGACAGGAGAGGTCTGCCGCGCCATGTGGGTAGCTCCCTGGGCGGCTGGGGATTGAACTCATGCTGCAGAGGCTGCGGACAGCTTCATAGTGCTGTGCTTAACCCCTTGTGCCACCAGGGAGGCCCTATCTTTTGTAATTTTTCAGTGAAATCTTCAAAAGCAGGAACCAAGAACCTGCCAGAAAGAATTGTTGATGACTTTCACTTTGAAACCACCAGTGTCATGAATAGTGCCTCAGATGGCCCCAATTCTGCCTGACATTTTGGTCTGTTCAGTCAGATCTATGAGGCCCGTCAACCCTTAGGTGTGCCCACAAGCATTTGAACAATTATAAGACAAATACATAAACTAGTAAATTAAAACTAGAGGTCACTGAAACTTTTTGAGTGCTCTGATTTCTCAGATGTTTACTGTGCCTTCCTCAATAGTTGGCTTCTCTGATGAGGAGTAACTCAACCAAAGAAACCATAGCCCCACACACTGAGCTGACTTGGGAAGCTCAGCTTACCTGATTTTATTTAGAAATAATTATCCTCTCTCTTTTGGTGAGTACTCACTCAAGATTTACTAAGAGAAGTGAGTCATTCCTTAGTATTGTGGAGCTCATCTTATTTTTTCCCCTTTTGCAGCTCATCATGTTCAAAACATTTGAAAGTAGCCCACTGGAAGGGCTGTTGCTTTTTGCCCACCTACCTTATCATAATTGGGTACATTCATCTCTCTTTTTACCCATCTCAAATTCTGTGGTTATTTTATTTTTTTTTAAAGATTTATTTATTTATTTACACAAGCACTGGGTACAGTCAGAAGCGTGGGAGGGTGAGGGAATTCACCAGAGCCAGAACGGGGAGCACAACAGGCAGAAGAACCGAAGTACACTGCTGAGGGGAGCAGCGGGCGGCAGGAGAGGTCTGTGCGCCATGTGGGACCCTCACCGGCGGCCAGGGATCGAACCGGCACTGCAGAGACTGTGGGCAGCTTCGCAGCCCAGCGCTCAACCGCTGTGCCACCAGGGGAGGCCCTCTGTGGTATTTTAATCACTTGTTTGTGCTTTTACTGTTTGGTGGCGGCACTGCAATCTGCCAGAGCCAATTCTCCTGTTGTCCACCCCTAAATATGGCCCCAGGAAGAACACACATCTGGAGCTAATCCTGGGGTTTTGCTTGAGTTCCCAAGAAGAGATACTTTCCTGTTCACACTGGGCTTGAACATGAAGTAATCCAGAGGCTGCAGGGTCTGCTCTCCTCTATTACGTTGTAGCAGACAGGGCTCTTCCTAGCATGCAGCAGCAACCCACTTGTTCAGAATTTTCACTGCTTTTTCCCACGTAGGATGTTTATACTTGCCTGATAGGCTTGACTGAGTGATTTGCTTTGCCCAGCTGGATGTGGGCAAAAGTTCCAAGCCAAAGCGTGAAGAGCCGCTGTGGTTGGAGAGTTCAGTGTCTTTTCCTTTTGCTATGAGAACAGCAGTGTCCCAGAGGGAGCTTGGCCTGAGTCTTGGAGGGAAGACCATGTGTTATAGAACTTCAGCCAGTCTGTTCTGGCCAAGGAAGAGGCATGCTGAAGAAACTTTGATTATTGTAAGCCACCTAAAGTTTGGGTTGTTTGTTACCAAAGTATAACATCACTTAAGTTGACTTAGCGTTGTTGCTTGTTGAAGAAGATGAGTTTATTAAAGGATATTCAGTGGTTCACAGGATTTCCGCAAGGCCTTTGGAGCCTCCAAAGCCAGGAATAATGGCTAGATCTTTCTTGGTGCTGCACCAGCAGACACCCACTGCTGCCGCCTTTGAGTACAGAGTTAGCAACTCAAGCCAGTGATGGGACCTAGAAGCTCTATCATTGTTGCCTCTAAAAGCTGCGCCGCTCAGCCACTAACCTTGTCAGAAGATGGCTTTCATAATCCCCCATGCCTCACCTTGCCCTCTTCTTCTTCTTTTTTTAAAGATTTATTTATTTATTTATACAAGCACTGGGTACAGTCAGAAGTGCGGGAGGGTGAGAGAATTCACCAGAGACAGAGTGGGGAACAGAACAGGCAGACTGATGAAATACCCTGCTGAGGGGAGCAGCCGGCGGCAGGAGAGGTCTGTGCGCCATGTGGGACCCCCGCCGGCAGCCAGGGATTGAACTGGTGCTGCAGAGGCTGCGGGCAGCTTCGCAGCCCAGCGCTCAACCGCTGCACCACCAGGGGAGGCCCTCACCTTGCCCTCTTCTAAATTGAGGTGTATTGCAGAGCCGAGGTTACATGCCTATGCTCTTGCTGTAAGAGTGACTGGAAAAGCAAATTTCTTGTTTCTCCTTCAGGGAGGTAGGAGTCAATGAGGAATTACCAAAACATAAGAAGGATGTGAGAAGTTAGTGGGTGACCACAAAGCATGGAGCATATTTGCTACTTACTCAGTCTGTGAATGGAGCCAACAGCAAGGGATTAGAAGTGAGCAGCAGAGACTGGGCACTACCATTTAAGGCCTCCACCATTCATGCCTTAAGTATACCCACTGGTTCTTCAATTATTTGAAGATTGCATCCCCAGTTTTGCTTAGGCCAGTTGACTTGGGCTTATTGTCACATCCAGGAGTCCTACTGATTCATGTCTAAAATGCATATGCATCAGCACAGTGGCTGGCATTGGTGCCCTGGCTTGAACACTTGGAAGTTTTGGTTACCCTTAGTTGCCAGTAAATGGGGAAAGAGGTCATGACAAAAGCCACTTCTGACAGGGGCAGGGTTTGGTTTCCCTCTTTCCTGGGGAGTTGGCTATTCTCAACTGGCATCGGGCATTTGCTCACAGGTGGCACAGAAACCAGGACACATAAAGTTATAGTAGGCAACACATCCGTGGCAGCAACTGCTAGTTGCTTATCAAATATCCATTCTTCTTTCATCAGTAATAAAAATAAGCAGAATAAACTCTTGTATAATGGTTGCTATGTATGAGAGACTATTCTAAACTCTTTCTTCATATTAACTCTTTTAACCCTCACAAGAAGCCTGTGAGAAAGGGCCTGTTACTGTGCTTAGTTTACAGATGAGGAAACCCAGGCACAGAGTAATTAGGTAACTTAACTAAGTCATACAGCTAGTAAATAAAGGAGCAGGGCTTTACCCCCAGGCCATCCGACCCCATACGTGGTGTTGAATCTCTGCACTGCTCTTTGCTTTAGCAATATGTCCAGCAAAATGACTCCCTTCTAGCTGGGAGAGACGGACACAGTTCTAGCCAATGAGATGTACAGACGTGGTGGGCTTCCAAAACCTTTTCTTTCAAAGGAAGTAGACTCAGTTGATCTGCCCATTTTGCCTTTAGTTCTTTAGTTCTGTCCGAATTGCAGATGTGATCGATGCTGGAGGTAGAACAGCCATTGTGTGACCATGAGTTGACAGTAATGAAGGAGAAAGCCACATGGCTTGGATGAAAGAAAGACGGTGCCTGGCATCTCAGCCCTGGATTTCCTACTTCTAAACTCCCTGTCATATGTAAAAAATAAACCCCCTAATTTTAAATTCTACTGTTTAGTGGGAGTTTTAGTTCCATGAGGAAAATACAATCCCTGCTGATTTAGCCTTTCTACATCTCTCGCCCTTACCTGTCTTCGTACCATTTTGACAACATCTTTTATCTATCCATCAGCGACTGCCCTGTGTTCCAGTCCCTTATGTGAAGTTGTTTATTATCACATGCCTGCAGTATGTCTAGGAGCACTGTGTTGGGCAGTGTGGGAGTTTATTTTTTTTTTTAAAGTATGAGACGTTATCCCATCTCAAGCAGTTTAAGAACATTAATTAGCCCAAAGGATGAATTTGCTCCAATGGATGCATAATGTTCCAATGGATGATAATGACTGGATGTGGTTTCCTAACTTAGGATGTTATTGAATTTTAATTAGACCCTATCTCCTGTCTCTTAAAGAGGAAACTCGAGGGAAGAGAAGACAGAGGTGGAGGGGGCAGGGTGATATGTCAAAGCCTGTGTAATGGTAGAGATGGACTCACGTGGTATGCCTTTCGACACCAGCTATCTGGAATTTCCAAAATCACTCACGGTCCCATTCATTGAGCTTAGATTTTATAGAGATAGTCATGCAAGAGAGAAACAGATCAGCTCATATCACCTCTCCTTTATTTATATGTCTTGAGATGCTTCTAGTTTCTACAGTTACTCCCCTGGGACTGTGTAACTTACCATGGGACAATTTGGCTACTCTTCCACGTAGAAGGAAATGTCTGCTGGCAGCATCCAGTTCATGTTAATTGGGGAAGGAATTGAAATGGGCTACTCCCTCTCCCTCTACTTCCTTAACACTTACTGTCTTTAGATTTACAAGTGGGTTCTACTGTGCACACAATGGTACTTGCCTCTAAGTATAAGTTCCTCATACTCTGATGGAAGATTTCAAGAGTGATACAGGTCTTATTATTATGTGTTTTTGTTAGTGATTTTAAGTATTTGTGATTTGGGAGGCTGCAACTAGGGTATAGTCTGAAGGCTATATTCAATAATAATACCCAAACCAATCAGTATGATGTGTAACTCAGTTACAGGCTATCTGCAGGCTAGCAGCCTTCCTCTGCTAAATTCTGTTAAAATTCATTGGGTTCTATTTTGTGCAAAATGAGCAGGCTGCCATGACAACTGTCTGTGAATATTATTTTAATATTAGTCATAGGTTTCCACTGTCTGCCTCTGAGT